GAATAGGAGAACAGAGGACTCTATGGAAGTCAATAAAAAATAGGCGAGATAGGTTGGTAGGACACCTTCTCAGGCATGAAGGTCTAGTCAGAGACATATTAGAGGCAGAAACGGGAGTTAGGAGGGGTAGAGGTAGACCTAGATTAGATTACTGTTCGCAAATAGTTAAGGATGTGGGCCGTTCTAGTTTTGGGGAAATGAGAAGTTTAGCTCAGGATAGGAAAGAGTAGAGGTACGTGTCCAACCAGTCTTAGGACTGATGACCTTATGATGATGATGATGATGAAAAGATTTTCGCTTACTCCACTAGTTGTACATTGTAAAAAAAGAAAGTTGTTCCGTATTGTAGGTACCTACATGTAAAATCTTACCTGGAAAGTAATATAAAAAAGTCCTTCCTAAATTGCGCTGTCATGATGGCATATAAGTAAGGATTCGCGCAGGAGTTCAATGGGAAAAAGAACACAAGCAAGATTTTGGATTCTGTTACTCCAATAAGCGGATATCCGGCCAGTGCGGTCAAAGAGAAAAAAGTGACCGGTGCCCAACACGCGAAATCCGTGAAAACCAACAGAGCCATCTTCTTCGCAATGGTCATTTCACCTCGAGTATTGCATCTCCGAGTCTCGTAACCTAAACTTAAATAGATACGCGCGTAGCAAAAGACAATTATAACGAACGCCATGCCATTTAAAAGGAATACTGCTACCAAATATACTTTGTCTACAATGGTATTCACTTCCATCGGAAGGCAAATACTGCAAAAAAAAATTGAATCATTTTTTTTTTAAACATAGAGCAACCACAACTTTATGTGCGGTATTCGGAAAATCTTTGATAAAATAATTTGATCATCTAGGGAATTTGTTCCAAATACAGCTTAAAGAAATTAATAGTTCCTCCTTTTTTTTGAATTTGTATATCTAAATTCAAAATTGAAACAGTTTTTGTGCTTTTTTTTTCTCTAGTTAAACATTTATATTAGGGGAGACCGGGGATGGTTGACTATAGGGGTAGGTAGACTAATTACCGAAAACTCGTCGACAGTGTATGAACTATGTCACCAGATCATAGCCAAGCATTACATTTCGCGGTCGTGCGTTGTTTTCGAACAGTGAGATGTTTTTCATATTTCAATCACATAAGTAATATTTTGATATATTGTATTTTTTGATCTGATGCCTACTCGTTTTTTGTAAATCATTTTTCTATTAGTCCTAGCGTTTAATGAGGGCACATTTATCATATTTCACATCTTATTTTTCAAGTCAACGGCTGTGTTTAGGCTAGCCTTGCGATCAAAATTAAAAATGGCGTCTGGGGTTGGTAGACCAATTTTTTTCGGGGCTGGTTGAATAATTATTCAACCAACCCCAATGAAATATGTAATTGAAAACAACACGTAAATTAATTTTTTATTGGACTTTTAAATCGTTACGTGGCCAAATTAAAAATTAATAGAATTAGAACAGAATCCGAAATTGACGAGAGCAGAATTAACCCTGGACACAGTGGGATATGTAAAAAATAGACAAATTTTCACTAATCTAGAAGAGGAAGGTTTTAAGTTGTTTATTTTTTAACAAAAGGCTCAATTATATTAAACAAATGTTTAATTATTTGCTCCTTCTCATGATACATGAGTCAACTTACCCCGGGCATATGATCTACCTACCCCGGGCCAGGGGTAGATTGACTAAGATTTAATATTTTGTAAAATGCATTAAATCATCACTATTATACTAAACTAAGAACTAAATATTACATATTTTTATTAGGTTAATAGATTTTCTATCAATTAACATGCTTTTCTTGTATATATACATTAAAACACAAAAAATATGAACTATTCAGTAAAAAAACTAGTCAACCATCCCCGGTCTCCCCTACAAGAATAAATAGATTTTTAGATAATCTACTCTTTGAATTGATTATTATGATTAAATATAATTAAGGTATTTGTTAGTTATTACGGTACTTACCTTGTACTACTATAGTTACTAATACCAAACAGTGGCAACGCTGACACCAATATTGAATACAACCAGCCAACTAACATTATTTGGACGGCTTGTCTCAGTCCAATTCTCTTTGTTAAATGTAGAGCATACGTGATTGCAAACCATCTTTCTAACGTTATCACTGTCAGTGTGTAAATTGATAAATGACTTGCGAACACCGTTAGAAATCCAGCTATTTGGCAACCGACCCCTAAAAAAGTACCTTCTTTTGTTATATTGTTCGATAACTTGCAAACTTCCTTGCTATACTATTTATTTATACGGTGTGACCCATTTTAAAAGAAGCATCTAAACAGTTCTACGGAAAAGGCTTACATCTAAGAATTAAGTGTCTTAACAAAAGTTGTATAAGTGTTAGGGGGACATCGAATGGTGACCTCAAATTTGACTTTAAGGTCTTATTTTATGGTTATTTAAAGACTAGGGGCGTATGTATAATTATGTTTATTTTTGTATATAAACTGGACCTAAACATTATTTAACTATAAATTTACTCTTCATAAAATGTGTGTACATATTGTTTATAAAATTCTCTCCTTTATTTCCTTTTTCACGCACTTCCACTGTTTCCTTTCCTAAGGTAATCGTCGCATTTCCCTAAAACTAGAATATTCCACATTCTAGGTCTACCTCTACTTTTCTTAATTCCTGTTTTTGCCTCTAACATGTCTCTGACTAGACCTTCATGCCTAAGAAGGTGTTCTAAAACCTAATCTCGCTTACTTTTTATTGACTTCCATAGAAATCTTCTGTTTTCCTATTCTTTCTTTCTTTTTATGAACATTAATCTAATCTAGGTCTACCTTTAATGCTCTTATTTCTGCTTCTAATATATCTCTAACTAGCTCCTCAAGCCTGAGAAGGTGTCTTACTAGCCTATCTCTCCTATTTCTCATAGACTTATACAGTGGCCTCTGTTTTCCTACTCATTCTAATACCTCTTCATTTTTAACTTTTTCCATCTACGGTATCCTCATAATTCGCCAACAATACCACATTTCAAACGCTTCTAATCTTTTATTTTCCTTCGTGTCCAGGTCCACGTTTCGCACCCGTACAGCGCCATACTTCCGAACATATAGCTTTAATAATTATTTTCAAATTTCTTAATTAACTGTTCGCGAGCTTAGCAGTGATTTCTTCTTGTTAAAGATTACTCAACCTTGCACTATCCTCTGTTTTATAACACTACGATACTTCCTGAATTATTCGACTTCGTACATATCGAAAATCAGCGACCATTATAAAATAGGTTGTAAAACAATAATGAGTATCTCAGCCGCAAAAATATTTAACAGATTAGTTTATTATGCTTTGATGTACTTATAAAAACAATTTTTATTTTTATTGAAGTGTCACAAAGATAGGAAGTAAAAATATTATTAGGCCAATTTATAAAGTTCTGTAACTTATTCTTGGAACCTTTTCCTTTAGCAAACCTTATTACTAACTTTCAAACCACGTTCATATATTCCATCTCTGTAACTTTTGTAAGTTTATTTTTTTATTAGCTAGTAACGTTTTCTTTCTCGTTTCAGGTCTTACTTCTTGCCCTTTCGTTGATATTCGTGAATTACAACTCTTAAAAAGTGAATTAACTTTTGTCGCGATTTGTGTTGTGCTTGGTGGGACAACAGATTTACTTCGACTTCTGAGTCGGTGAGTTTTTATGTTATTTAGTACTCACTGTTCTGATTTTTCTTGTAATATTGATTTATGTTTTGAATGAAATGATATTCAACAGATTATACGTAGATATATAACATCAAAATAATTAATGAAAAATCAATTTACATTCCAAAGGCATTTTAAAGTAGTTGTGTATCGATGTTCATCTTTGACCTTTTGTTTGTAAAAATATCCGTAAAGCACAAATATGCTTGTGAAAAAAAGAAGTTGAAAACTTAATTTCTGAAATTATCCAAAAACGCTGTTAAGTTTACCGCAAAAATTTATGACTAGAAATAGTGAAAGATGAGAGCCTCCATCAAAGATTGCTTTAGATTTTCTTTTTTGAAAGTAAAATTATTTATATATTATTTTAATTTAATTGGAAGTCTTTTTTCCATTGATTTGGTTTTAACTATTGATTAGTAATAAAGTTGTCATTTCACCGTACTACCTTAAAGAATGTTTCAGGAAATTTATTGAAAATAACTCTACTTACTTATATTTCCGGGTCTTCTACCGATAAATTATTTGAAAATCGTTTACAGGATGATGAAAATTTTTGTTGATGNATTCGTTTATTATGGTTGGGTTCCGTTATTTTTCATTTATTATTACTAATTGCACTGGACTATTGAAAAAGCCATAATACCTGTATGAAGAGTTATTCTCAACAAAGTTTGTGAAACAATTTTCTTTATTAAAGTATAAATTTCATCTTAGAAAGTGTTTCACACTAATTGTAACATACAGTCCTTGATACATTTAAGTGTTATGTATCATAAAATTTATAGTGGAAAACATATACTGTTAGTTCTAAACAGTAATGTCAACTTCTGCAGTATAAATTTTGTTACCATTGTCAAGTTACATTTTCATGCTTACGATCCAATTGGAGCGCAAGTGACAACAATATTAAGTTTCTTTTTAAATTAAATGTTAACTTAATATTGGAAACGTGTATATCTAAATTAAAATGTGGATATGGTATTTATAAACAAAGTCACTTGACGTTTTGGTAATCGTGTTGTAAAAATATTAAAAAACTGAGAAAAAAACAATTGTCTGAGTTTATTATAAACTCATTTTGTGAAAGTACTACACCGTTTTTCTTCGAATTCTCGAGTTTTTTAAAAATATGGTTAACTTACCGTACTGCCAATCGTATGCAAAGTTAAAATAAGTTCCAACAGAATGGAGATCCATACTGGCGATCAATAACAAGTATAGGCCCATGCAAATATCGGCGAAGGCTAAATTGCACATCAAAAATCTCGAAACGTTTAAACCACCCTTGCTTAGAGTCAAAACAATAATGACTAGGAGATTACCAGAAATCGATAATATTACCACAAACCATACGGACACCCTTAACCAAACGAACCCCATTATGTCTTCGCACGGGTTTAGGGCGTTTGGCTCGGGATAACAAAAGATTTCTCTTTTACTGAAACAAAAAATAAACGTTAAAGAGTGTAAGGTACCCGAAGAAGATTCGGAACGGTACCACTCAAGTTTTACGTAACGCAATTTGGAAGGGGACGGGGATCTTGTAAAACATTAGGGGCATAGGCGATAGCAACTTAGTTGTATTTTCTTTATTAATTTGAAGTTATCTGTGTAGTAGGTAAAGTTAATTAAAAAAAATCGGTTGTCTGTAAAGTCGGTTTACTGACGATAGTTGAACGTGACAACGTCATAAGAAAATACTGATGGAATGGTTTCATTTTTCAAAAGAAAATTTTAATTTTATTTGTTTGATAGATATTTTGTGTGGATACAGAGAAGGAGGTAAATGGAAATGTATTATTGTATAGCAGCTGTCCACGCGGACGCATCGCTCACTCAAGTAGGAGAGAGACAGATGTCGAACGCCGATTGTGCCTCTTTGTCGCTTGTTCCGCGCTCTCGCTTGCACTTCAAGCCTTAAATGGAACGCCTCAGAGCGAGGTAACGCCGCATGAGTCATGTTTTTTCGTGCGTGCAGCCGGGCTCCATCGAATTATAAGACGTTGTCACGTCAAAAAATTAATTCAGTAATGCATTAAAATTTTTAGATTAGAAAAGTCACTACCTAGGATGTTACATATATATTTACCGATAACCCCCCCCCACTTGAGATTGGGTAAAATTCGTCGCGAACGCCCCCCCTAGACTACTCACGTAATTAATGGACGCCCCTCAAGCAATCGTTAAACTTTTTAAATAAATCAAGTCTCTAAATTAGTTTACTAGTTTTCAAATTAGCCTGGACGTGGTTAATCATTATTTTTTGACTTAAAAGCGTTTAATTATCAACTTTCGAGAAAACCTGTTAGTCATTCTTATTTTTTAGAAATTACCATTTGAAGCAGTTAAAAACTTAATAGGTGTTATTTTCCTGTAAAAAGAAAAAAATAAAGGGCATAAATTGGGCGAGAAAACAAAATGTTTCACTTGTTTAACCATGAGCCAAAACATCAAAACAAACTTACTGTGAAGATATATTTCCACAAAATGCTTGTACCATGCTGTTTTCCGGTAACTCTGCTGACGTTTCGTGAAACGTCCCGAAGTCATCTTCATCTTCGTCATTGTCCAAGTCCGATGATACGCCCTCTGACGAGGTTATCCTGTGTCCTTGCAAAGGAGCCAAATTAGGAACGTTTTGCGTTTGAGTAGACCCCAAACCACTGTTTAACTTTATAAGCCAATCTTCCGGTTTATCAGGTTCATCATCATAAGTTTTGTAGCTGAATAAGTGCTCAGGCCAACTGTTAAAAGAAATATGTAGAATTGTACTTTTAAAGGTTTCATTTTTAGATAGGCGGTTATGATGACCGTCTCACCTACGACCCCTTCCTATCTTAGGTATTTAGTCACCTGAAAATTGCACTCCAGCTGTCGTTGATAGAACTCCGTTTTCTTCTTTTTCTCTTGTGATTCTGTTGGTCATTTCTTAATTGTCCTGTATCGAATGGGAAAAGTCCGCTTTCACAGATCTGTTTGACGTTCGCCTGGTACTGGGCATATCCCGCAGGATCGTGCTGCTTTGGATATTTGAAGGCACAGCAGTGGAAGGGATGTGTTAGATGTGCATCTTTTAAACTCTGCCATAATTTAGAGACAGATATTTTTTATTTAGAACTAGTGACCCACCCCAGCTTCGCACGGATGCAATGCTGATACTAAATATATTTTTGTTTTGTTTAGATTATTATCGAAAAGGGGAAATCTTCAAAAGATACCCCCTGAACATACTAAATATACTACAGAATGTCTTTATATACAACATTCACAGTTTTTTTGTCATTAGACAATACAAACCGGCCCGCCGGTACCGCCGCAACCGCTATGTCCCTATATTTTAAATCTGTAATATCTTCGAAAACATTCATTTAAATTACATGCTGTAAAGGGCCATATTGATCTATATTAAATGCACAATGTATTTAAGGTACTTAATTGGATGAGAATTAATGCTGTATTGCCTATAATCGCTTCGTAAATAAGTCATTATTTCTCTTAAAAAGTAAAGGATAAAAATGGTTATTGTGGGTTATCCCTAAGAAATAGACATATACCATCGCGGACTTTTCTGTAGGCCCTTTTAAGATGTATAATATTGTAGTACATTATTTTGATCTATCTCGTAGGGTTCAGCCAGCGTTTGCAATGTAAGCGCAAAAAATGTGTTTATTTACGACATCACATTAGAAACCTCTAAAATTATCAGTGTTTCTCTACTATATATTATGCATGTATTATACATATAAACCTTCCTCTTGAATTACCCTATCTTTAAAAAAAAAACGCATCAAAATCCGTTGCGTAGTTTTAAAGATTGAAGCATACATAGGGACAGACAGCGGGAAAGCGTCTTTATTTTATACTATGTAGTGATATCAAAATTTGACGATTAATCTCAATTTCCCAATCCACTTAAATAGTAATTACACATTAAGCGTTCGAGGGAGTCGGTGCACCTTAACTCCTGTCTATATTTTCTTATTAGACCAAATAATAACAAAATGAAAAAAATTATTCCGTTTATCAATATACAGGGTGTTTTTACTTATAAACATTACGGTACTTATTTGAAAAGCAATTAACAAAATTAAATATTTATATAATTTTGAGAATTCCACAATTTTTTCAAGTTCAACATCATTCCTCAATGTTCTTCTTTACTCCTGAACACTCTTAATTTTTATCTACGTATCCATCCAAAAATTACTTATTCTTTTCCACGTTGACTTAAAATAGCAGATCAGGAGGCATTCTGCTCAGTTATTCTTTCAATTGTTACCAATAAATCGGTTTGCAACATCAATTTTATTGGACAAACGCAATTGCCTAAAGTTATCACTAAGATAAAGATAACGACAGGAAATACATTTACTTTTACTTTATTTAGATGAAATGAATGTATTTACATCGTTTATTATTAAAAGCACGCTGTATATGCCCGTAAATTTAACTCTTTGGAGAACTGGAGTAATTATGAGACGGTATTGTTATTTCGTTTGGCCGGTAGTTAAGGCATCGGATTAAGTACCTCATGTGGCGAAAAAGTACATCAATTATTTGGACGGGAGTTGAGGTGGGGTCCGATGGAGCAATTTATTTTCTGTAATTAGAAATCTGACTTGATTCCTAGCATCAATTTATCTTTTTAGTTCTCAGTTGGGCATTAATTATTCAAAAATTAGTTAGTTCTAATTTCTCGACTCCTGTCTCTATATTCGTTCTTTCCCTTCTTTTTTCCCATGCCTACCGGTATTTTTGTTTTCATTATCATAAGGTCGTCATTCTTAAGACTGGTTGGACACGCACCTCTACTCTTTCCGATCCTGAGCTAATCTTCGCATTTCCCTAAAACTAAAACAATCCACATCCTTAACTATTTGCGAACAGTAATCTAATCTAAGTCTATCTCTACTCCCGTTTCTCCCTCTAATATGTCTCTGACTAGCCCTTTATGCCTGAGAAGATGTCCTACCAATCTATCTCGTCTATTTCTTATTGACTTCCATAGTCCTGTGTTCACCTATTCTTTCTAATACCTCTTCATTTCTAACCTTCTCTATCTATGGAATCATCATTCGCCTGTAACACAACATTTCGAACGCTTCTAATCTTTTCTTTTCCGCTGCGCCCACCGTCCATGTTTCGCACTCGTACAGCGTCGCGCTGTAAACATAAGTATAGCTTTAGAAATTTTTTTAGAATTTCTAAATTAACCGTTCGCGAGCATAGAAGTGACTTCTTTTTATTGACGACTCGACCCTGCGCTAACCTCTGCTTTATATCCCTACTACTCGTTCCGTCCTGACTTATCTGATTACCTAGATACCGAAAATCAGCCACTTCTAATTTTTTGTCTCCTATCTTTATATTCGCTTCTTCCCTACTTATTTATCCCTTGCTCACCAGTATTTTTGTTTTACTTTTATTTATTTTCATACAATACCTACTGTTTTGCCAATAGCGCCTCCATTTTATTTAAAGCTATCTCTAACTCCAAATCTAAGCATACTAATCTTTTGCCCCTCTATATCTATCCCTACAATTGTACTGTCTTTAATGATGTTGTTTGTTACTATTTGAATTATTCCACAAATGGAAAGCCAAAATTTCGGTCACAACTTGGTTAAATGGGATCCATTCTCGTGAACTCGCATTTCGCTTGCACATCGGAGTTGACCCCTACCCCTAAAAGAGTAGATGTAAACGACTTTCGGAATCTGTGTTTTAGATGATATAAGCTGATGAAATCTCACGCCTGTATGAACTCAAAACCGAAACCTTAAATGGGAAACTGTATTCTTTTCTAGTAATTTATGCTCAAAACTGTTTTGTTCGCGTGTTAATCTCCACTGCTACGGATGCATTAATAAGTCTTTTTTTCATAAAACCTGTGCGTTTTATAAAATGCGTAGTTTTGCTATGTGCGAACGGTTTTATTGATATCATAGGTATTTTTCATCGTCTTTATGATTTGAATCGATTACTATCTTATTTACGTATTTTAGTATATAAAAGTCGAAGTTTGTCGTATATTTTTTCGGTATTTATTGTTATAAACAGAGGGAAATGAAACTTATACCAATTGAAGGGTACTGTGCCATAGATCTAAACAAAACAATAATCGTTTGTGTATGTTACCGTTAAGACAGGTAAAAATATTAATTTTGTTTAATGTTTTCTTGCCACGCGATTTCCGACCGATTCAACCCTCTTTTTTTCTTATGTAAGAATATCGACCACACGCGAAATCAGCTACTAGGCAGGGGGATGATTTTGGACATCCTCATTTCATATGTTTGTAAAATCTGACAGTTATTTGGAAGTGGAACTACAGTTTTACTAGGTTTTTTAATTTTTGATAGAAAATAGCGGATTTAACATTAAGGGTAGGTGCAAGAATGCATCTTCAATGGGCTTGGCAATTAATTATGCATATGTAGGGGCTCCATAGAATGAATACCAAGTTTTTTACTCCCTGGAGACTATTTCTTAGGGTAGGACACTCGCAACGGAATCAAAATCTACAAGGTTACATTCCGTTGATATAGAATTATGAAGTTTGGCAAGAATAAGTAATGTCTTATAGCACAAGTAAATGGAAAAATCCGAAAACCGTCAATTTATAGATAGGAGTACATCACAAAAAAAATGTTTCGCAATTATAAACTTACTGAGAACCCTCGGTGTGTTAGTGCTTGGCCGTTTTTAGGGTTCCGTAGTCCGAACGAGAAACGGAACCGTTATAGGATCACTTGTGCGTCTACCTGTCCATTTTTTATACATATATTTAGGGGTTGTTTTCATATCCTATTTCATAGGTAAGACTCGTTTGTCTATGCATTTGTTTCATGAATCTTGATAGTCAGCTGTACAGGCCACTCACAAACACCATTAAAAAAATCGGTTGTCAATAAGGCGGTTTACTGACGATAGTTGAACGTGACAATGTCATAAGAAAATACTGATGGAATGGTTTCATTTTTCAAAAGAAAATTTTAATTTTATTTGTTTGATAGATGTTTTGTATGGATATAGAGAAGGAGGTAAATGGAAATGTATTATTGTATAGCAGCTGTCCACGCGGACGCATCGCTCACTCAAGTAGGAGAGAGACAGATGTCGAACGCTGCCGAACGCGGAGACCGATTGTGCCTCTTTGTCGCTCGTTCCGCGCTCTCGCTTGCACTTCAAGCCTTAAATGGAACGCCTCAGAGCGAGGTAACGCCGCATGAGTCATGTTTTTTCGTGCGTGCAGCCGGCTCTATCGAATTATAAGACGTTGTCACGTCAAAAGACAGAAAATGAGAGGGGCCTACTATTTTTTCTTTCATTCACTAAACCGCAAATGCATATTATCAATGTAATGCTTCAGTCACTCCACAGTTTATTATTTTTTTTAATAATCAATTTACAAAAATTAGTATCCCTCTCCTTCTTACTCTAAGCAGTAGTCACAAGTAGGTAGAAGAAATTACTTATGCATAATTAACATTTTCATTTTAGTTCATAGTTATATTTTGCTCCCTTGCCTTGTTTTCAGTCATACATACCTTCAATTCATATATGCTGGGTATTGTTTTCATGGTCGCCACCCCTTCTATCTTTAGTTCTTCCACATTTTCGATGCCCACTATCGGTAAACGTGTTATCGATGTACCTGATAGATCTCTAGAACCAGAAACTGTTGCGGTTTGAAACTATATATATCACATTAGGGTGCTTCGTTTTAAACAAATGACAAAATTAGTAAACATTCACAATATCGAGACACCTTAAATTTTTGTAGGATTAAATTCATTGCATTAGTAAATTAATTTTTTGAATTAACCTTACCCGCTACCCAGATACCCTCAAATTAATTAAGAAAAATTGTTGCGGCCGTCACTTCCAAAGCCGGGAATCGAACCCGGGAACTCATGGTTCTACGCATTAGTACTCATGAGCCCGGGTTCGATTCCCGGCGAAGGAGTGACGACAGAAACAATCTTTTCTCATTAATTTGAGGTTATCTGTAGTGAGTAAAATTAATTTGCCAATGCATTCACACTATTTAAATTTGAAATGTCAATTATTGTGTAATATTAAACGAAGCTGGAAAAAATTACGGTGTAGCCAAAGAGCTATCGTTGCTAATAAAAATTTTGTTAAACAAATTCTTACGTGGATATATAAATTAAACTAAAATGTGTGTCTATAATATCGAAATAACTGCAAACAGTTTAATTAAACCAAATCTAAACTAACTAAACGCAGTTAATCTGGGTATTATGTAATTTTATAGTTGCTCTAAGTGCATCAAACATAGTTAAAATTCTATGCAGAATTCAAAAATGTAATAAGAAATAGGTGCTTCCATTTGAAAAAATAGTCGCTAATTTTTGGGCCACATATGCCTGTATACATGAATTTACCATGAAAAACCCGTAGCTAAAAATAAAAATCGACGTGTCCGAGCGTTTTTCCTAGTGGTATTGGATGTATATTACAATTGTTTATTGTGTTAAAGAACAGAGTAAGAAATATATGTAATACACAATAATAAAATTAGTTATAAATATACTTACAACGTACGAAGGCTGTGTAAACGTGCGAACGCATTTGGTTTTAGGGTTGTCAGCTTTTTATTCCCGTTAAAACTCCTGAAAATTAAACTTCATAAAGAAAACATTTTTACTATAATGATAATAATGATTTTTTACAGGAAAGTTAATAGTTGTTTTCATGATGAAATTTTTAATTAAAAATCACTAATCTTTGACGATTATGCGTATTTAAATGTAAATATTAGGTAGGTAGTCGTAGATAGGGTGTTGTAGTTTAGCGGATCCGCCAATAGAGTCATTACATAAAATCAGGTAATACTATGGGGAATCCCTGATTCACATGCGTATGTGAAGTGCAATGATCCATGAATTTAGGTTAGGTTATGGTGAGAAATGTCATTCCGATTAGCTTATATAAAGTGTTATGCGGGTTTAGGCTGGCTTACGATGGAAAAGTCATTCCTGACTGAACTTTGAAAAGTAGTATACACTATGGGCTTAAGAATGTTACCTATGTCGAGAAAAGGGTGAACTGATGTACACTAGATTAGGTTAGGGTGAGAAATGTTTGCCTAACTGTCATGTGTGAAAAGCTACATATGCATCAACGGTTTAAGTTATACTGTAGGGAGAAGGCGTCTAAAGTGCAATGCGCTTGGGGCTTCGATTGGGTTACAATAGGGGAATCGTCATCATTAAAATATATGTGCTGTGCAACATCGGCACCAGTACCACCCGTTCAAATTAGATCGGGTTCAACTAGTAGGAAATAATACTACATTGTGTAACATTACATAGCAACCTCTATTGATTACTTTTTAAACATTAATGTGAATTAATATTCTACCGTCTAAAGGTTACATCAAATTAATGAAGAAAAATTGTCGTTGCTGTCACGCCCTTGTCTGGAATCGAGCCTAAGCCCTTGGATTTACGCACCAATTCCTTACCATTAAGCTGCGAAAGATGACAGCAGTAACAACGACATTTATTATTTTTATTTAATAAAGATTAAGATTTTACAATTTTTCAAACATTAATCCTACCTTTTAGAGATTACCTCAAATTAATGAGGAAAAAATTAATTTCTATTTAAAATAAAAATAATAAATTTCATTAAAGTATTTCAAACCTATTGATATTTTGAAAACTATTTATAGATAGTAGCACCATGTTATATGCATATTCGTAAAAGCCGAAAGTTATAATAACAAATTAATCATTACACGACAAAGTCTATTTTGTCATCGTATTATTCTCTATATCAGAACTTTATCAGAAAATGTGTGATGGGATAACTCAATTGGACTCTACTAATCGTAAGATGGAAATGAAGCCATTGGAGTTTGCATTTAGTTTAATTAACATGTCCTTGTTTACAAATTTTTTTCGGTTAGTCTTTTTTTATTGCTGTCAGATAAATTACATATGAAAAAAGAGAATGCATTTGAGAAAGGTATTTTTAACTTTTAATGCTTTATAAAACAAATAAAAATGTCTGCAGTATATGTGGCCCCATTCGGACTAGGAAAATAAAAATAAAATCGTAAACTTTTTAAATGCCGTTCCCGCTAAGTAACTATTTATTTTCTGACATTACGATCGTAAGCGTAAGTTCTTGTTGATTAAAGTCATCCCAAATCAATTTAACCATAAAAGCGGCCAATGTGGCTTCGCAAATTAAAAATTAAATGATTCTCGGTGGTATATTGTGCGATTTCGTGAACGAATATTGAATGTCATCGTTGTTATTTTTATTAGGTCTATTTAATTTATCACGATCATCTTGCTGTCTCTATTTATTTTGCTGACTGATGAGATTGAAATTGCTTTTTAATTGAACGTGAAGATTCATTACCCGGATAAGTGCCCACGCTTCGATTATAACGTTAATATTTTTTTATCTATTTTCCGACGGTTTTTGTTTAACAATTTCATAGAAGGGAAAATCATCAAATTTTAATTACGTTATCAGATAAACTAGATTTGTATTTTGAGTAAGTAATGGGATTCCGAATAATTAAATAGAACTTTGACTGATGCTGTGAAAATTAAAAGCTAGTGCCTATATATATCTTGATGATGACCTCTGTATTATGAGTACTTATATATATATATAACCCCCTTGGCATGGTTTTCAGCTACTTTCAGTATTATTATCATTAGGGGTAATTATATGTACGTATATTGTTTTTGTGAAAACAATTATTTGCCTGCAAAACAAGAACCATATAATTAATTTCTGACTCCCTTTTCTTCCTGTTTCATTCAGGAAAATAGGCCGATGAATTTGCCTTAACAATTCCAAATTTCTTGGTCAAATATTTTTGGAGATAATTAGGTCTTTTCTTTTAAGGTGGCTATAATATGATGTACGAAAATATAAAGATTAAAACTATGCTCAGAAAAATGCTTTATGAAAACTTACTACAACGTTGTAGAGGTCGTTTTGTAGCAAATGCAACTCAAATTTGTAGTAAGGTTGACTAACGGTAAACTTAAATTTGACTATAAAATTGTAGTGGTAAATTGTAGGAGAAATATCGATAGGGCTCTGACAAATTCCTTACAATTTGACTGAAATATTTACGACAACAACTTTGTGAATTTCATTACAAAATGTAGTAAGATCAAATAAATTTTGTAGAAAATATAAAGAAATAATGTAGCAATTTTTATTTTTATTATTTGAATAAAACAAGAAATAACGAATAATATGGAAAATTTTTAATTGACTTTTGGCAGTAAATATTCCTTCACTTTAACTTCGAAACAAAAAAATATTTAGTTTCAATCTCTATTAATAATGAGCGTAAAACTTTTTAATATGTTTAAATAATAATTAAAACTTTAAAATTGCATTTATTTCAGACAATTATAAATATTATCATTATATTATCAAGTAAAAACGAGATTTTCAGCTAATTTTTCATTTTTTCCTCGATAACCATTTAGTGAATTTGAATAACCTTACGCTAAAATGATTCTCCAGAGTTCAAGTTACTTATTATAAAAGTTTGAAATTTCTGGTAGCTTTTTTTGTGTTAATAAAAATAAATTTAATCTGTTCGGTTAACGAATCTCCATAGAATGACGTGTAAAATTACAATTTTTTAAAATTTCAATAACTTTTTAACGGTTTAGTGAATCGATTTGTAATTTTTACAGGAGTTTTAGAATTGAATGAGGAACGTTCTTCCAAATTTTTATTTACCTTTTTGACATACCTCCCGAACATTCTTAAATTAAATTATAATGTTATTAATATGAAACTTTCAGAAGACTTCAATAGATTAAGCAGGAATATTTAACATATCAAAAGACTTATCTTACTCAGTAAGATGATGACAATCAGAACGTAAATTGTTTCTTACTTTTTTGTTTATTTTTTTTATCCATTAATAGGCTTTTCTTTTTTTTTTGTAATCGGGGACACATTTTTTGAAAATTTTGTTTTTAACTTCCACATATATTTTTTTTTTAATTTTTAATTCTCTATTTATTATAACCTTACTAATCTGTACATATGAGTTTTAGGGCTGTTTATTATACATATTTATAGGAATGAAATGTATTCTTTTACTTTACTTTTATATGTATGTATAGGAATTGAGGTCACACACAGCTTGCGACCTACTACTAAATAAAATTGTTCCATTAGACAATTGAGACGATCCCTTGCATGTTATAAACGAAACGGAACTTTGATAATCGTCACTTCGGCTATTGTAATGCCTATCCTCAAGAAGATCGATTCGACTCACTCGGATAACTTATCGTTTCTGTCCCTCTAACTTTCAGGAAAGCAGGAGAAGGGAAATTCTGTTGTCGATAACTAAGTTATAAAGAACCGTAGTGGATATACCGATGCTTTTTTATCATTTAAGAACGAAGTAAAAATTTTAGGGAAAAGAAAAGGTCTTCTCGTATCAATGTTCAGTAAAATAATTTAATACCTACGTTGATACATAGAAATATTATTCATATTATGTTGTAGTCAATGATCAGGACAGGTATATTCTAGGTTTGACGTTTGACCAACTCCTTTGTAGACGAACCCCGAAAATATATTTGTAAACGGATCAGTACGCGGAGTTGTAATTATCGCGTACTGGCGATAATTTGGTTGCTTTGATACCACTTTTCAAAACGGCACTTAGTGCACAGGGTTGGAAAAAAGCAGTTTTTTATTAGATTTGTGGAACAAACAGTTCAAAATATTTTAGACATGTGTTCATATGCTGGTCTGTGTTCTGTCGGAAATTCGACCAGATTCGAGAATGGACATTTCGCATTTTCGTCACTCTTTAAAACACCCACGTATGAATCACGTAACACTGACATTAATTAATACTTTACGTATAAAATTCATCACTGAAGCAAAGTAATTAAAAATGACATTTTGAAATCCTTTTAAAAACAATTAAAAAGTAAATTAGTATCAACTTACAGTCTTGCAATTTGCGATCCATTGAATGCAAAGTTGTCCACTACAGTGATGTCATTATAATTGAAAATTCTGAAAATTATTAATTATTATCAACTTATTTAATCAAATTTAGTCTGCAATAACTTACGCCTGTTCAGCATTAATTTTGACGGAATTCGGTGGTACTTTTTCTAATTTGTTTCCTTCCAAGTCCCTGAAAACAACATGTAGTCGATGAAGTAGGTAATAATAAAATGTCGGCAAAAACCGACAATTGCAATTGATTACATAAGAGATTGAGCAGTAAAAACATTGAATCCAAAACATTTTTGTTGTATGAAATGTTTGATATTCGTTCTATCGGTAGTGTAGGAAAAATTAATATTATTATCCCAGCGTGATTTCGAATATTGCGATAAGTCATCTACAGTCCATTTCAATTTATTAGAATTGTGACCTTGAAGAAATTGCGCGAAGATAGAAAGAATACACACTAGGCGTGAGCAAGACAGAAATAGTTGGAACAAGCTTGAAGGAGCATAGCTCTCGATGGGCGGTCTTAGAAGATAGGTTAGAACTGTACAGTACTAGACGAAAATGTTTAGCAATTTCTTAAAACAAAAATGTATATAAATTAACAATAGAAAACAAAGCAAAAGTTTTATATGTGTACAGAACGTTAAGTTAATCCACTTGTTATTATTTTTTTCTGAATATGCTTTTAAATAAAGCATATTCTTAAATTTTAACGAGGCAGTTTAAATAATTTTGCAAATGGTACTGTACACTTTTGTCTAGTTCTCGCTCGATGATCGATGGAGAAATGAGCTCCGCTCACAAATATGATTGAATTTGGAATTATGCTACGGCGCATCCTAATAAAGGGAAGGGGCATATCTCTAACTTCTTGAAACGAACAGTATATAAGTCTGATTTTCCCAAATGCTTATAATACGGCAATATTTTCTAACTATACATATACATAGTTACGAAGTTTCACACATATTATAAATACTCGATTGTCTTTATCAGCCATTACAATTACAAAATGTACAGTACAAAGTACAAACACGTCAATTTCTGATCAAATCTGAGGCCTCATTTCGTTTTGCAACCTAAGACCTCCAACGGGCTTACGATAGCTATTTAGATACGCAATAAAAACCTCGTTGAATTTAACATAAAAAACTGTCTATCATAATAATTAATAACAGAATAGGTTTTTTTTGTTTTTACAGAGTCACTTAAAACCTGGTAATATTTATTAGAGTTACCAGTAGAATGTTGCCAGCGATTCATCAATGCCATGCCCTTCTTTACTAAATTGAATGTACACAATGCTAATTGAAATGAATTTAAAAGGTTTTGAGGCAGTGCGTCGGAAAAAAAGAACTAGCAAAGGTACAAACTCATTAAAAAAATTGCTATTTTTTTCTTTTACAAAGTTCACTTACAGCATATGCAAAATATTATCCGGATGTAGATAATCGAGTCGAGGAATTTCATGCAGACCGGTGTGAATTATTCTTCTGTAACATAAATTATTTTATTATNCTCTTAGGGATAACCCACAATAACCATTTTTTATCCTTTACTTTTTACGAGCAATGATAGCCAATTTACGAAGCAATTTTATGTAATACAGCATTAATCCTTATCCAATTAATTACTTTTAAATACATTGTGCATGTAATTTAAATGAATATTTTCGAAGATATTACAGGCTTAAAATGCAGGGACAGCGATTGCGGCGGTACCGGCCGGTTTACATTGTCTAATGACAAAAAAGCTGCGATTGTTGTATATAAAGACATTCTACAGTATATTTACTATCAGCATTGCACACGTGCGAAGCATAGTGTACAAATAATTCCATTAAACCAATTCCTTAACCCCTATCCCGGTATGTTTGTGTGTTTGAAGAAGTTTCACTTCAGTAGCGTGTTGTATAATTACACGTTGTATTTTTTTCAGATATAATCTATTAATCGGAACAATCGTTTCTATTAATCGAAAAAAAAATAGATTATTCCAATTAGTCGCAATAATCGGTTATTTTCTTACAATTGACAATCAATTGTTAAATTTAATAATCGCCCAACCAACTTAAAGGGAGTCACGAATCAGTGACGAAATAAATACACTTGATGATACAGAACTCTGCTTGATCAAGGGTCATACAATCCCTGTCCTAATTTTTGCTTTTAAAGAAACTTGAAACCGTTTGTCCCATATTTCTCGGAATATCGATTACTATTTCAGCCAAAAGTTCCTTATCTTGGATAAAGTTCTGAGGAAAAGAAGCCTTTTTGCTTCCGAAATTTTATCTTGATCGAATAAATAAATGAGCAACAATTAATTTGTTAATAAAGAAAAATTACAAGTTTCGTATTGCTACCGCTACCAAATGCTAATTATTATTGATCCGTTACGATCTGTGCTCACTGAGAGCGTAGGAAGTGTATAAATTTACGTCAAAAAAAAACAGTCCAGTCTAGTCCAATTTTTTTCCAAAAAGTAGCTATTTTTCGGCTAATTTGCCTGAACTATGTAATTAATTTGTGAATGTAATACAACAGGACCTAAAAAGTTGCGTGAATAAGTTGTATACATATGTATAAGGAAGGTTCGGTAAATATTTAATACTAATCAACCATAACAAATGTAGGAAAAATTTTTAAAAGTATTTACTTACAAAGTTAAAAATTTCCTTGTAGTTACTCCCATCAGTAGGTCATGGAGAAATTTTATTTGGGGAGCGTTGGTAATGTACCTATTTATAGGTGTAAATGTACAATTAATTTTATTGTTTAATTGAGTAACGGTATGTTATGATAGCACTCACACTGTTCTTAATCTAGGAATATCCCTAAATATTCCCTTTTCTATCACTCTCATTTTTGGAAGGTTTCCAAGCGTCCTGCAAGAAAAGGAAAACCTTATATACACTGTATAACAGAGCCTGCAGGTGATAAAACACTATTAAACATGAAAATTAAGTCAATGTTTGTATGTCTGAATGTTCAACGTTTTCGAGAAAAAACGTAGTTGAAAGTATAGGTAAATTCAATTCCGACCCTGGCAAGGAAATACGATCCGCCTGTATTATTTAATAATATTATTTGGTAATACCAGCATCAGTGTAGTATTTGTTTTATATTTTTTGCCCATCTTTTGTTTATTTGCCAGATTAGATCAAGTGTGATTCAGGATGTTTATTCTTTTAACGTTTATCTTCGTATGAGGCAAACGATGTGCAATTCAATAAAACAATTGAAGCAATACAACATCAATTATTACAGTTTATCACTGTTACTGTAACATGACATGATACCTATTTACGGGTTTGGACCATATCGCCACTATAGGGACGAAATCCTTGATTTCATAGAAGACAATCCCTAAAATACACTACACGCGAAAAAGCAGGGAACATTGGCTGCTCTCATGTGACAGTGCAGCAAATTTTATAGGAACAATTGCTGCATTCTTCTCATCAGCAGCGAGTGCAAGCCTATCTTGAAACTTATTTTCAGCCGCGAGTCGATTTATGTCGGTGGTTTCGATAGAAAAGCACAGCACAGGGACGGAATTTTGAATTTTTACTGTTGATGTAAATTATTCGCTTGTTATACATCTCTTGCGATTTCAAGAACTGTTTTCGATAAATGTGTGATACGAGATTTTTGGAGACTTGTTTGACTTTTTTGGCAAATTTACGTAAAATCACCCGCAAAAAGGTAACGCACATTGGCAATACATCAATGGTAGTGTGGAAAGTTGCCTTAATAAAATTACAATTATCCAGATGATGCTCATTTACCCATTATTTCTTATTTAATTTATTTAGTCTCAACATTATTTGTAGTATTAAATTGTTTATGGTTATCTTTGACGTTCGATAATCGCAATGTTTATTTCTCCATCCACGTAGCTGCAGTTTCTATCCCACTACGCTATTCAATGTTATAAATTCACGCACAGGACCGGCTTCGAATTGTAAATTATTGTGATTTTCTTAAAAAGTTTTTCTGCCTTTAAGCACGCTTTGAACTGACAGTGCGATTGTTTATTGAATCTGGTTTACACCCTCCAAAGCTCGGAACTTATTAAAACATAGAAACTTCTTGCAGGTTTTTTCAGGTTTTATTGTTTATAAAAAGAAAGGGAATTAAACTTGAGTAATTTATTCAAAAGATGAGCACAGAAAAGTTAAATCAATTTATAATTAATACCAGTAGAAAGCGCTCTAATCGAGATAAACTTTGCAAGAGGCATTTAGTTTATGTTATGTCTTACCACGCATTACATTTGATGTTTGTTTACGTACATAAACTAATAATTAATTTTCCGAAATATAATTTGAATACAAAGCTATTTGCTTTACACAGAATACATTTATATTCTGTGTTTAAATCATTAACGGCTTAATTAGTTCTGTTAGTGCTACATAACAGATCCATGTTAATTAAGTTTGTTATGTAAAATGTAAGCCTGTGTTAAATAATAAAAAAGTCAAACAGGACAAAAGAGATCAAAATTTTTTTAATTAATTATCAATCCTCTAAAAAACGGTTTACATCGAATTTATGCAGATAATTTGTAGACAACGCTGACTTCAGAATTGCTACAACATAGCAGTATTTTAAGTTTTTCTGATCTCGAAACTCAAAAAATTCAGTTTTCAAGGTATCTGTTTTTTGAAAAAACTGAATCGGCTGTTAACAATCTACTTCGTTATATAGTCAGGGATGAATCTCCAGATAAACTGTTTGAAGTAATTGGGCATGAAGCTCACCATTGGATTGCGCAGTGCCAAACTTCACCCATTCGCTGATTTCTTCGTTTTTACCTCTTAAAAAGGGTGACCGTCACTTTTTACAGTTTATCTGAAGCCTTAGCACATCAACAGAATAACAGTTTGGTCAATTTTTTCCAAATATACAATATGAATACGTCAAGGCTCGCCTCTTTAACGTCTGAGGATTCATGTTATTCTAAGTCACTTATAACAGTCAGGGTCAATAGTTTTAAGTTTAGAAATGTAGAAATCAATGAATCAAAAACAGGCAGAATTATGTCACTGCGTAATCCAAGGTCAAGGCTCATAAGATTCGTTACTACTTGTACCTGTTTCGTTACCTCGGAAACAACTACTTTCATAGTTATCTTGTCCTCTTATCTCACCAAGTTACGTTCACAAAAAGGTAAAAAGTTGAATTTCTTTTGAATATTAGATCTGAGGTTAAAATATCTCGAAATCCTGACATACTATTTATGGTAAAGGTCTAGATGATGGCCCCCCGAAGGGGGTGTGACTGGGGGGGATCGAAAGAGGAGATCTCCCCCACCACTGTACCATAAAAAGTTCGTGGCGGTCTCACCCCCATAAAAAGTTATGGAGGTTGAAAGTTAATAAACATGGCAATTTTTATACATTTCTAGGCATGTAAATATTTATATAGTCATTCTTAAACAATATTCAAATGTAAAACTAATGAAAAATACATAAAAATATTGAGAAAGTTATATAAAACATTATTTAAATATCATTATCAATAGGGTAGGTTAGGTTAGGTTAGGTTATCGGGTTTTGTTCCAAGTGACCACCCTCTTTCGATCCCCCACCTCCACCCGCTTGAAAATAATTTTTTTATTGAATTTTATTTGAATTACAGTGTATGAAAATTGTCGAAATAATCAACTTTCAACCTCCATAACTTTTTATGGGAGTGAGACCGTCGCAAATCTTTTATGGGGTCTTACTAAGGTGACCACACTCTTCCGATCCCCTCTACCCCCACCCCCATCTAACACCATAACTTTTTATGGGGGTGAGACCGCCACGAACTTTTTATGGTACAGTGGTGGGGGAGACCTCCTCTTTCGATCCCATCCCACCCCCGAAGGGAGTGGGGACCATCATGTAGAAATTTACCCTATTTATAAGTATAAGTAGGTGTGAAACTGGATAAGGACTAGCATTAGTGGACATCATGTCATTTTTGGTTTCAGTTTCCTGAGTGAAAAGTAAAGTATTCTATATAATTTTTCTTTAATTTTTTCTCAACTAAATGTTTTTTTAATTTTTTTTACATTAGTGTTTTATATAATATATTTTTAACTTACTCCTAATTAAGAGGTTAATATAATGGCGTCCAAAAATAAAAATACGTTCACATAAAACACCTGTATATATACATATATTGTTTAGTAAATTATGTGGCCATTATTTTGATGAAAGACATTGTTTTGGGGCGAGTCTGGTGATTACATCGTTGAGTTAAGCTTTTATAAATACAATACTGCAATTAAATTACAAGTTGACAGGTAGGATTCGCATAAAAGCTTTTTCCTCACCATATATTTCCATTTAATTAGAAAGAGGCACGTGCTCAACAGTACGTGCTAATTTTTTTATTATTATTAAGCCTAAAACATACGTACTCATTAATTAAGGCTTTTCTTTTTGATCCCACCGGGAAATCTCAAAGTAACGGTACATATTAATGCTTTTTACCCAAAAAAATTGCGTGCTTAGTTTTTAATTAATCGAAATCATAAAACAAAGTTTTCTAATTTATTTTTGAACTGAGGGAAGCCAGATATTTGAAAATATTGATACGCTATTAGGTTGGGAAGGGGGGTTAAATTGGATTTGGTTTACTAATTTTGAAGTTCGAAAACTATGAAGAGAACTGCACAACATTGCTATAAACGAAATCAATATTACGTAACTTTGTAAACGCATTAGTTTGTTTAATATAATTAACTACATTATGTAGACCACTGACTTTGTTTACATTGTAAGCAATTACGAAGGTTGGTTACGTGGTGATACTTGAAAGTTCAATTTCCTCATGCATTTTTTATTTTTTAATTTCAGAACTGTTTGTATATCCTTGAAACGTCGCAAAAAAATTATCTTGCAATTAATGAAGAAAATGTTTGATCGACAATATTACTTTTATTAAACTCCTTATGGCTTTAGCGGCATCTTTCTCTCCATTTAAATAGTCTGTCTTTCTTTTATTACACGTCACTGTAATTTATATAATTTTTATGAAACAATGGGTAGTATAATAATAAGATGAGAGAGAGACAAACACTTCAAACTGTCAAATACAGAGACAGATGCACAAATGTTATAAACAGCAATGTTCGTTGCCTGCGACAATTAAAAAAAGATAAACGTATTTGTGGTAGGTATACGGGTTAGTTTGTTCCAGTAATAAGTAAATAAGGAAAAAATTTACAGTTTTCACTTTAAAATCCAAAACCGACCAAAAAATTGTTCCTATTAGTCGGAAAACCGAAAATTGGCTAGACACACTTAGTTAAAAAAGTCATTTTTTTTTTTAATGACAAAATACAATTCTGAAAAATTTCGAATAGACAAACTTTAATCACTAAAAATTATTTGGTCAAAAATCTGAATTCGGGCTTCGTCACGACCTTCTTTTTATCGCGTAGATACCTTTAAAAAAAATTAAATTCAGAAATTCAGTTCAGGCGTCACGAACATCATGTTATGGGAACTTCGCTCCAGTGAATATAGTTTGTAAAAGTATAACGAATACCGTGGACTACAAAAATGATCAAAGAGGGCCGTGGGTTGGCCATGCCAGGTCTTGATGCTAGGAGCGTAGCTCCGTCGAGGGGGTTGGGGGAGGTCCAAGGATTGCATCCCCATTGATAAAAAGTGGGGACCGTGAAGTGGCTAGAGAGGTGGAATCTTAAAGTGAAAATGGAAAGTATATAGATGATGGAACAGTGGTGGTGCGCCTCCACGTTGTCACCTTCAACTGTTACCATATTCTTATAGTTGTTCACGATCAGCCCTACCCCTCTGCAAGTCTTCTCCCCCCTACCTTTCCCCACCGTTCCATCATTTAGACATTTAACATTTTAATTTTTAGCCTCCACTTCACCCCCCTTTTAGAGAGGGGGGTAAAGTCCTTGAGCCTTCCTCTACCTCATTCACCTCCCATCATCCTCATCCGAGCACAGGTCCCAACATTTAGGCAATTACCCGTTAAGGTTGTTTTAATAGTTTATATCAATTAATTAATGGTTATATTATCATTTTTGGTTTCTAATTAGGTCACTTGTGTGAGGTGCATATCAAGTACTGTATACCGACTAATGAAAGAAACTAATTCACGCCACACAGCAACCAAAGTAATGGTATGCTTATAATTCCTCATATCCGCATGCAGAACTTCCGCTTAAAAATTCAATTAAAGCCATTTTTATGTGTGAATAAACATGTCCAATAATTATAGTTACTTAATACTTGCTCAAAACGTACACATCCATTAGTGTGTCCTTATAAGGCTGAAAGGCATCTCTGTTGATGAATCTGATATCGGAGTCGGTGATTATTATTTTTTGTACCCCTTTCTGCAAGTTTGAAGGTATTCTGGTGAAATTCTTCCCGAAACATCTGCATTCAATTTCGGGCTGTTGGCCTGTCCCTTCGGACGCGTTGTAACAATCGCAAAACTTTTTATTGTACGATTTTGTGGAGTTGGTTCTCGTGACAAGGGACTGCAGGTCTTGAATAGAATTCATGCCGCTTCCATGTTCATTTTCAGCAATCGCGATTATGAAGCGAAGCAGGGTGATAATTACCAATGGGACTATGCAAGCTTGCCTCTTCATCTGGAATAAAAGTTTCTAAGTTAATAAATGCTAGACGGTTACGGCAACAAATTGTCACCTTTAAATTAAAAAGAAACGAAGGGGAAAAATAAACGCTAACTTTAATGTTTTTCACAACTTTTATACCTACGATTCTGTTGTAGGTATATTAGCAGTGGCGGCACGTGAATATTGATCGTAATTGTTCTACAAATGTCACATAATACTATAATAGTGAATTATGTTTTTGAGTAATAGTAAGATCTAAAATTGTCCTATTTTTAGAAAGTAGGTCATTGGTATAAGGTAGCAATCAATATTTAAGTGGTACTTATGTAACGCCCTCTGTAGTCACGATTAGCCGAGCTATTTAATTTTATCTTTGTTAGATAATGGCCAATGTATTTATCTTGCCAGAAAAGTAAAAGAGCGAATAAAAATAAAGTACGCTTAGATCAATCGCTGTAAACCCATTTTGTTTGTCCGGTTGCATAATTTGTACCGATTTGGGGAAGTTGATAACCAAATATTGTATTATTAATTGTTTACGAGTATTTATTATTTTCTAAACAAGCAAAAAATCTTGCATTAATGACCGAAACAAACAACTAACAAAATAATTGAAAAATTTTATGTAAAAGTAACATAAGAGAATTCTATACTAAATGGTAATAATACAAATAAAATAGGTATAAGTGAGAATAAATAATAACAAAGAATTACTCTGGGCTGGCGTAACATTTATACTTCTTTTAGATAATTTGCATTTTTATATACTTAGTTTTAATCGTTGAATAGACAGGTTGCGCCTGCGGTCAGTCCCTAAATGAAATTATTTAATCTCTAAAAAAGATTATGGTATAGTTGCGCCCCAATATCAATTTGTGTATAATTAGGTAGGTACCTAGGCATATATATCTTTACGATATTTTGGTATATAAAATTATTCTTGTGTATTTTATGGGGTGAATCTGCCTGTTCGCCGACCTGCTTTAGATCTCGACCACTTTTTTAAATGTCAATAATAAGTAAAAAAAAAACGCCAAACATGTCATCATCATAAGGTCGTCAGTTCTAAGACTGGTTAGACACACACCTCCACTCTTTCCTATCCTGACTAATCTTCGCATTTCCCTAAAACTAGAACATCCCATATCTTAACTATTTGCGAACAATAATATAATCTTGGTATACCTCTATCCCTCCTAACTCCCGAATAGTCCTACCAAACCATTCTCGTCTATTTCTAATTGACTTCCATAGAGTCCTCTCTTCTTTCTAATACCTTTTCATTTCTAACTTTCTCTATCCACGGTATCCTCCTTATCATTCGCCTGTAACACCAACCTCTTCTTTTCCGCCGCGCCCACTGTCCATGTTTCACACCCGTACAGCGCCGCGCTCCACATACACCTTTAACAACCTTTTTCGAATTTCTAAATTAACCGTTTCCGAGCATGGTTAAAGATTTTATTAAATTAATTTTCGAAGGGAGAAGTAAAAGTATTTAATATTTTTCTTTGTACCTGGAATGGTTTCCGTGAAAATAATTCATGAATGTCGTTATTCACGCTTAATCTAATCTAACAAAAAAACAATGCATGCGCCAAAAATATAAAAAATAACGTACAACATCGGCTGATTGAATGCGCTACTACATTGTCATATTTTCCTGTGTGATCCTACCTAGGTCGGGCTGGCCTTTGCCCTGTACTTTCAAATATGTTTTTCGTGAAAACGGTGAAACTTTATTTAATATTCTTCTTTTGTACATAGTGGCCTATTACTTTCTATAAGCTTGCTGCTTTTTCCAGATGCACCCTATAGTAAATATATATGAGTTTAATCTCCTGCCAAATATGACCTAGATCTTTTATTACAGAAACCCTTTCTATTAAAGATTCAAAAATTTGGTGATTATATGTGATTACCTTATAGTCAGGTTCACATGAGAACGAAATCAGTGAGCATTTAGTTGCATGAAAACACATTGAAATTCCTAGTGGTTAATAGTAAATATTAATTTGAAAATTCGTTCTCAATTTCTTTTCCACTACAAGTTACCTCAAATTAATGAGAAAAATTTTTTGTTGCTGCTGTTACGCCCTCGTCGGGAATCGAACCAGGGACCACTAAACTACGAGAGTTGACAACACTATTCGATCGAAAGGTCCCGGGTTCGATTCCCGGCGAGGGTGTGACAGCAGCAACAAAAATTTTTCTTATTAATTTGAGATAACTTATAGTGGAAAAGAAATTGAGAACGAATTTTCAATTAATGGTTATAATAAAATGTAACCCAGTTTTTATATAGTCATTCAGGTAATGCTTATTCTAAATCCAATTGTTACTTGTGAGTATCAGATTCTGACTCAATGTTTTTATTTCCAATCATCGGCATATTGCAATAACTTAGAAAAATGAATTATTCTTTGAATTGATACTGATACAAGATTGAGAACTCTCAATGTAATCCAAACATCGTCTGAGATGAATTTACCAATGTCGATTATAATTAATTCGTGACTGAGGGAGTTGAATGCAATGTAATAAATAAAAATGAAAAATAATATCACTTTCAAATACCAAAGAATCTATTTACGATCACTGCAATGGTTTCGCTGAAAAGTAACGTTTTTTGACTTTGAAATAAATTTATTTTAATCAGAATTTTGAGGTTTTAAAAAAATTAGTGCGCATTTTCGTTAATAGTTATCCCCATGAATTATGATTGTAACCCTTGAAATTGGAGTATAAGCAATGGAAAATTACTTGACCTGTGAAACTGAAATTTGATAGGTAGGCGGGTAGTTTGTAGGTTGAAGAGGTCAGATAAGAATGGATTTTGTAAAAGGAGCGAATGAACTTATCGTAACTTTATATCAAAGTCTATGCATTTACTGCTACAGACATAAAAATAAGCTGCTCTGCTTCATTATAAAATTATTGAATGATATAAAGGGTTTAGTGATAGGTTAAGTGCTAACACACTAAGGGCTTCGGATAGGTTAGGTCAGGGTGGATTAGGCAGGCATAGGTTTAAGTATTATGCACCACTGACAAAAGTACCATCAAAATTTACGGTTAGGATGTAATAAAGTTAATATTTTTATTAATACTGCAATATGCAAAGTAAATTATCCGAATAATCGATTATGTATTCCATTATTTTCACTTATTAAAAATAATCAATTGTTCGATTATCTTTTTTGAAGTGAAACTTCTTTACGCACGTAAGGTAAGTTCGTTTCATGCGAGTTGCTATGTAACGAAATCATGCAACGGATGTTCCCCCTCTACTCGGCCACGTAGTCGAGTTCGTAGTGGGGATCGCTTGAGCTGTGAGCGCGCTTCAATGCAACGTTCGTTACAGACAACTCCGGCATGTATAGTGTAAAATTTAAATTCATAGTGTACAAATAATTCCATTAAACCAATTCCTTAACCCCTATCCCGGTATGTTTGTGTGTTTGAAGAAGTTTCACTTCAGTAGCGTGTTGTATAATTACACGTTGTATTTTTTTCAGATATAATCTATTAATCGGAACAATCGTTTCTATTAATCGAAAAAAAAATAGATTATTCCAATTAGTCGCAATAATCGGTTATTTTCTTACAATTGACAATCAATTGTTAAATTTAATAATCGCCCAACCAACTTAAAGGGAGTCACGAATCAGTGACGAAATAAATACACTTGATGATACAGAACTCTGCTTGATCAAGGGTCATACAATCCCTGTCCTAATTTTTGCTTTTAAAGAAACTTGAAACCGTTTGTCCCATATTTCTCGGAATATCGATTACTATTTCAGCCAAAAGTTCCTTATCTTGGATAAAGTTCTGATAAACGCAACTACATTTATACTGTTATTGATTAATAAATTAGAAATTGTTTCTAACAAGTGTCATTACGGATGAGGATATGATGACGATTAAATTTCATTGCAGTATCGATATGGTGAGCGTTTTTAAATGAAATAACAAATAAGAGTCTTATTTTCGTCCAGTAATTGGTCCAAATTGATAGTATACACACAAGTCAAGGATTTTCAAGATAATCTTATTCGACAACATTAATAATACTTTCGCGTTTACTGATTGCTCTCGAAAATGCGTGAAGTACCTGTTTGTGATTATTTTATCTCGAATTATAGTGTACTACTGGTTATTATTTGTGTTTGAAGAGTTCAATTATTTGTTTTAAATACCTATATTTAAACAATTTAAAGGCATACTTAGTAAACAAGTACTACTTTAGTCAGGCATTAGAATTTTATTTAGTTTATAGAATTTTCTTTAAATGGTAATGGCACCTTAAAAGAATTTAATTTCATATTATTTATTCCGTTACTATTTACAAAAGTAGACCTACTTGAAATTTATTTGCAAGCGAGAAGGTTACAACAAACTGATAAAGTAAATTGTTTATTTATAAATGTAATTTTGTGATGTAGTATTTTCTATATTTTTAGTATCAGTGAAATCTATCATATTTTTTAGGCTTTGAAAAATTGTAAGTAATTTTATGTCAAAAGTAAGTATCTTATGAGTAGAGTTGGAATTTTATGTAAAAATATCTTTTTTATTATTAGGAATATCACCCCAATATTGTGGATATATCCATTTTACACTGAAATAATACAATTAACGGTATTGAAAATCACTTATTTCGCATAAAATCAAACATTAGTGAATATTTTTAGTTTTTGTGCATAAAATTAATGTTTTTTATTTTTTTTTAACATAAAATGCCATATCTATATTCGACCCCCATTCAAAAGTTTATTACAGTTTTAACTGAAGTTTTCTCCAGCGATAAGTTGGCAAGTGAAATTTGCCTAGAAATTTTTAGGTCACCATTATCACTTAACGTCATTGTTATTAACGGTTGATTATTTTTTCTTATTTGGATATAACGTATTTACCAAAAATCTAACTACTTGGTCGTTTCCTTTACAAAAGTACTTAATATTTGAGGCGGTTGAGTGGATGAGGAAAGGTTGGGGAGGCTAGAGCAAGGGAATATCAGGAAGTGGAGGAAGAAGGTATTGAAAATGGAATACGATAGAGAGGGAGAGGGCTCTGAAGAGATTTAAAAACAGTCAGGAGCTAGTATAAGGGAGTGGTTGAAGGAATATATCAATATAGAGGAATAGATGAGGAACACATGTACGAAAATGATAACAGGGGAGGATCTAAGAAAAATAGAGGAGTCAAATTATGTTGAGGGATTGAAGGAGATTATGTGACAAGGGGTTTGGGTGTCAAAGTATTTAGAAGGGCTCAATCCAGAAGGTAAAATTATGAAAGAAAAAATCAAAATCAAAAGCGCTTCATGGAAAATACCCGAACCAACAACAACAGGAATATATAGATAAATAAGCTTCTAATATGTGGTTAAAGAAAGGAATTATACTGAGAAAATTCAAAAATATATTTCTTTGACTGATGAAATAAAAGAAATGTGGAATCAGAATACAATTCGAATTATTCCAATAACAATAACATCAAATGGCGTTACACCTGAAATGTTACGTGCTAGTATAGCCGACTTGAAACTGCATAAACTTACGTAACTTAACACTTTTGTCATATACCCTTTATCAGATAATACAATAGGAGATTCAATTAGAACACCGGAAAAAATATTAACAAATAGAACATATAGTATTTTTACTCTTTCCACTGAGAATGTGGACCTCCGTGTCGCACACAGACACCGAGTTCGAATTTTTTATTTAAATATTGAAATGAATCGTTACAAGTAGTAACATTATCAAAAAAAAAATTAGGTTATGCGGGTGAAGATAATGTTTTACTAATTGTAGTGTCCAATGTCATTGTGGATACATTTCAACATGTCTACGGTTTTAATAGTCAACAGTTTTTTTTGTGATTAGAAGATACCATCAAATAGTTTCGTCCTTGTTGAATTATAATATTTGATTTGATCGCGCATTTCAATTGCGATAAGGTCTACATGTTTTCCGGTAATACTGTTACTTATAGCGATAAATTGATCTATTGGTAATTTATTATTATACGTTGCGTTTGTTTTGATTTACTGCTAATAGTGGCGGGTTTATGTTGGATTACACTCTCGACCCCGTCTTTTTCAGGTGAACGTAATGATTGTAGTGATAAACAATATATACTCATCATCATCATCATCATAAGGTCGTCAGTCCTAAGACTGGTTGGACACGCATCTCCACTCTTTCCTATCCTGAGCTAATCTTCGCATTCCCTAATAGTAGAATATCCCACATCCTTAACTATTTGCGAACTCTAATCTAGGTCTACCTCTACTCCTCCTAACTTTCGTTTCTTCCTTTAATATGTCTCTGACTAGACCTTCACGCCTGAGAAGGTGTCCTACTAACCTATCTCGCCTATTTCTTATTGACTTCCATAGTATCCTCTGTTCCCTTATTCTTTCTAATACCTCATCATTTTTAACCTTCTCTATCCACGGTATCCTCATCATTCGCCGGTAACACCATATTTCGAACGCTTCTAATCTTTTCTTTTCCGCCGCGTCAACTGTCTATGTTTCGCACCCGTACAGCGCCGCGCTCCAAATATTCACCTTTAACAAAGGGTCGCAAGACCAAGATTAAGACTGCAAGACCAATTTTGTTCATCACTAATCTGTGTATATATATGTATATATACCCAGAGCTAATCTGAATAAAATATATTTTTTAAGATTACTGAGATAATAAGATATATAGATAGGTACTATACTTATAACTAGCTTATACCTATTATTACCAGTCCCTTTTTCAGATAGGTACGATAAATTGTTTACGATTAAGTACTTGGTGATATTGATGATGTTTGTCAAAATACAATACATAACTTAACGTAAATAAGTACCTAAATATGGAGGTAATTATAATATTTCGATTTTCTGTACGTTAAATATTGACCTAACAAGCTATCGCATTCAGATACGTTTGAGACAAAAATATACTAATGAAGCTAATTGGATTGTATATTTACCTGTTCGTGGTGATTAGATGTCATGAACCTGTGGCTTTGAGAAACAAATTGACTAAAACGATTGAAAACTTTAGGTGTATAGTGTAATATTCGCTTAAAGGTGATGCTTTAGAAAGTACGTATCTTATCAAACAAATTCCATTTGCACTCTTACAACAAATCAGAAATGCTAACTCTTATCATATTGTTTTATTGGAATGCTATATAGGTATTAGATTGTAGTGTAGTAGATTTCTTGATAAAAACAATATTCAAGATGCATATTGTTACATTTTTATGAAGTGTTTTATGGTACTCTAGCTTATTTGTATAAAAAATAAAATAACATGGAAAATACAATAATATAAATAACTAGGTAGCGTACGACTGTACTTTTCTTCATACTCTCTTTAAATGTGAAGTGCGTTATTTATATGTTTTATATTTTTAAAATTGCCCTTTAAACATCTTTATCTTGATTCCCAACTCGTTGGATTTTTTTTGTTTCGTTGATCGTTGAACGCGCAAATTGTTGTCTAATGTTTGCAATTTTATTTTCAATTTAATTTGCAGTTTTCTTATTAAAATCAGTGCACCTTCTACTTATTTTTTTTTTATTTGACCTTTTTATTTACTATCTCATTCATTAAATCCCATTTCCTGTATCCGATTTTTTTGCCTTGCCTTAGATCTTGCACATATTCTTAAATTGTGTTTTTTTAGTACTGTATACGCGATGTTCTCGCCTTTTTTTGCATTTTATAGTATACTAGTGACCCGCCCCAGTTTCGCACGGGTGCAATGCTGATACTAAATATATTTTTGTTTTGTTTAGATTATTATTGAAAAGGGGAAATCTTCAAAAGATACCTCCTGAACGTACTAAATATACTACAGAATGTCTTTATATATACAACATTCACAGTTTTTTTGTCATTAGACCGCCGCAACCGCTATGTCCCTGCATTTTAAGTCTGTAATATCTTCGAAAATATTCATTTAAATTACATGTTGTAAAGGGCCATATTGATCTATATTAAATGCACAATGTATTTAAGGTACTTAATTAGATAAGAATTAATGCTGTATTGCTTACAATAGCTTCGTAAATAAGCCATTATTTCTCGTAAAAAGTAAAGGATAAAAAATGGTTATTGTGGGTTAGCCCTAAGAGATAGACATATACCATCCCGCACTTTTTTGTAGTCCCTTTTAAGATGTACAATATTGTAGTACATTATTTTGATCTTGTAGGGTTCAGCCAGCGTTTGCAATGTAAGCCTAAAAAAATGTGTTTATTTACGACATCACATTAGAAACCTCTAAAATTATCAGTGTTTCCCTACTATATTATGCATGTATTATACATATAAACCTTCCTCTTGAATCACTCTATCTTTTAAAAAAAACNAGAATACAACGATTTCATAATATGTAATGTAAGTTCGTAGATTAATAAATCAAGTATTTTATGTTGCTTATTGTTAGACTAAGAAAACAAGCCATGATTTGTATTAACCAAAGTTTATGTTTCGTCTAGTTCAAATCCTGTTCGGAAAGTAGTAGTAAGAAAGACGTTGTAAAAGAAAGATTGTCAGTAAAAGAACATTGGTGAAAATTGTAACTCACTATTGTTTAAATATTCAAGCTAAATAAAATTTACTTTACTTCAATAATCAACTGGTTTTTTCATAATTGGAATGAATAAATCGAACATCAGGCATGCAATATAATGTCAGGGAAACACGACATCGGTCAAAAACCCTTTTATTTTTCTTATCAAGGTGTAAATTGTCAACCCCCAAAAAGACATGCGGTATAAAATTGGAGAGCCCCACCTGTCACCAGCATCCAATATGTACCTATTAGACTGACAATAAAGGAAAAAAAATTTTTTGCTCAATCCTGACAAGTCACTTTCACGAGAAAACAGGAACAGAACTTACCAATAATTAATAAAATAAATAATACAATACAATAAAAAATAATACCAATAATTGAACATTTGAGGAAAATACTTCAACTGTTTTTTATTTTTATTTTTTGTGGATTATAGTCGCCCTTAATTGGATATTTGTTGTGTAAATAAAACCCTCTTCAGTTATTTTCCACTAGCAAAACATGACACTTTACAATTTTTTGATACTTTTATTTAGTAGCAATCAAACTGATAAGAGGATTATCTTATCCGTGTTATTTTTATATTTTTTTAGTTTTATACCTATAGCTGATTTACGTATTAAGTATTAATAAAACAACTTAAAATTTATTGAAATATACTAATGCGAAAATTAATTTTCCATTTTTACCAACTGTAAATTACCTATAGTTAATAAGGAAAAATTTGTTGTTATCACACCCTCGCCGGGAATCGAACCTGGGACCTACGCGCCAATGACTACTAAGCTACGAGAGTCCTGGGTCCGATTCCCGCCGAAGGTGTGACAACAACAAATTTTTCTTCATTAACTTGAGATAATTTATAGTTGGTATAAATAAATGGAAAATGAATTTTCAGATTAATATTTGATATATTTACCACTATTAAAAAATATCAAAGTGTTTCATTTATGGAAATGTTAAGAATATAGGACATCAGCAAAGTATTGCGCATCACGTGTAACTTAAAAGAGCTAATAACCATATATGTACATATGTATGTTCTAGTTGAAATGTTGGAAAATCTTTGTCAAAAGTTTTACACAATGGACTGGAATATTGTCTGAAAATCTACTTGATCTGCTTATAAAATAATTTTTAAGAAGTTTTAATACCTATTAGCTTATTAGGTATTCATTTTGTTTACAAAATTTCGTTATTTATTAGAGTATAGCAGTGATCAACAGGCTAATGAAACATTGTGTTTGTATACGTTATACCGAATCGATTTGATCGTTGTAGGGGAGTGCAGGCCCTACAAGTCGCACGTCATATTCGTCATCGACCTTACATACTGATATTTCGTGCATTTCAAATATATGTAACAGAATCTCCCTATGTTCGGTTAAACATAAAGAATACTTTTTAATAACAAATAAATAGATAAGTTGGGTTTAATTTTTTAAATCTTATATAAATAGAGTTTACAATCAATTCACGTTAACAAAATTTATCTGACAAAATAAAATCAAATCACAACATAGTCAGCACTAATAATACAAAGACTGAATCCACCTGGAGGACATTTTAGACGGTTGCAACGTATCTGGTACTGCTGCAGTGTCCTTTTTATTCCTTTCATTGATAAAGTAACGAAACACATCATACACATTCTTTTTTTCGGCACGAGGCTTACAAGAACCTAATTCGTAGACAATTTCTCCCTTTTCAGTCCTTTTAATGTCCAGATTTAACATTCCACCTGCTTGTTCTTGCTGATTCGGTTGTTCTTCATCTTCAGTGACTGTCGCTTCTTCTTCAGGCGGCTTTACTGGGTCTGATGTAGGTTGTACCGTACTACTTACCGATCGCTTTTCCACTTTACCCGCCCTCATGTCATTCGACAACTCCGATGTAGACGTGTGTATTAGAGTGCAACTTTTCTTAAACGTCGCGGACAGAAACAATCCAAAGGACTGTTTTCGATGTTCGGGGTTTTTCAAGCACTTAGGGGTCTGATTTAATAGATAATAATTACTAGTCACTCTTACTACAGATGGGTTTGCGCGAATCATGTTGTGGTAACTATTAATTTTGAAAAAAGGTATTACGTCGAAAATGAAGATAAACCCGTTTAACGAACTTACGTGATATTTGAGTTTTGTCTAAATATGTCAATTTTTGGTTTTTATAAAATGTTACAGTTTTTGTTTTTTTTTTTGTGGAAATTGTCCATGCCTCCTTGTTCACAGCACAATAGGCTTGTATCTACTAAGAATAAATCGGATGGATTAGAATTTCTAATTTCCATAAGGGTTGATTTTTAAAAATTGCCAAAACACGTATTTGCTTAATTTCAACAATGAGCAACCATCGATTAATCCAAGTACAAATAAAATATACCTCATGGAAACGTTGCAACCTCTTTACATTTGATTATTAATATCAAACTACATATATACCAAGCTTCAAGTAAATTCAACCACAAATAAAGTATGTTCCAAACAAAAATTGCAACATTTTTTTACCCCTACCCTCCTTTGGAGGTTGAATTTTTTAAAATGTCGAGATAAGTCTTTCAGAAATTAAATGAGACCATTAAGACCAATAAGTTTCAAGTAAATCTGGCCATAAATAATATATGTTCCATTTAAGCATTGCAACTTTTCTTCACCACTTAACCCCCCCCCCCCAGCAGAGATTGAATTTTTTTTAATTTTTTAAGCAGTTTCAAGTAAATCGGACTAAAAACAAACATGCAATCTTTGCAAACCCTTTTCAGGCTCCTAAAGAGGTAGAATTTTGTAAAATGTTGAAATAGATATGTATGTCACTAATTTTATATGAAAAGGCATTAAAGTCAAGTTTCAGGTAAATCTGACTATAAATAAAACGCCATACTTAACCATAGACAACATTATGTTTAGCTGTCAGTTGCGTTTTGTTATACCATTTTTAACAAATGAACGGCTAGACTGATATCTTGACCGATAAATTTTTCGTTTTGCTGTCAGTTACGTTTTGTCATTCCATGTCAGTTGCGTTTTCTTTTATTATTTTTTTTTAGGAGAACGGGATAAAAAGTATCCTATATCCTTCTCCTGGTTCTAAGGTGCCTCTCCACCAATTTCTAGCCAAATCGGTTCAGCCGTTCTTGAGTTATAAATAGTGGAACTAAGACGACTTTCTTTTATATATATAGATGTTAAGATCGACAATATTTTTAGGTAATAAAATCGGCAAAATAAAGTATTTAGTCACATGACAGTGAACACCAATCAGAAACTGTGACGTTTTTACAGTTGGGCTTTTACATTGGGGCTCCATACAGTACTTAAAATACAATTAATTCGTTTTTTATTAAAGAAAACTAACAACTGTCATACACGTACATGATTTGTTTAGCATGGCGTGACGTCATTTAAGACGCCATGACAATTTATGTGTCTTCGAGGTAAATTTAAATCGGTTTTTGAAAACAAAATACATAGAAGTTTTTATTCATTGGATTTCAAGCATTTACTTTGATTTTACAAGATCATTTGCAGAAGGGTTACACGTTTATCTTGTAATTTTAATTTTTAAGCCAT